TTGCAGGTGCTTGATAGCAAAGCCTTGAACTCTTGCCGTTCTGAAAACATTTTAGTTTCTCTATTGTTGAATCATATGCATTTCTCCGCTGAACTGGGCCAAAATATTTTACGAAGTACTTTGAAAGGGCGGGTTTAATTCATTTAGATCTAGAAGAGGTTCGGCCCACACAAGTAAAAATCAACTAATTGGGTTTTTTACTTTCTACAATTCTTATGTCTGTTAAGTGTTAACTGGGCAGTAGTATAGGCATGGGTGTACTGAACTAAAATGTTACAACAACAAAAATTGAGATAAATTCTTAAATATATTTTACATACAAATTCAAAGCATCTTTTTAATTGAGATAGAGTTCATGATATGGTGAATTGGTGATTGGTGAACTAGGGATGGAGGAAATTGAAAGACATGTTCGATAACAAAACATGTTAGTAAGAGTGCATCATATGTAACAATATCATAATAATAGAGTTATTATTTTGAGATAGCATTCAACATATAGCATAGTCATTGATAGAGTATATGGGCCTGGGCCCCATGGCCCACATACTCAACGGCCCAAAAGACACCAGCGGGACACCCGCATCGGCCATAGGCGCGCGACGTCCAAGAGAGAAGACATCACCCGGATTCTTTGGGTGAAGCCCAGGATCCGCATCGTCCATGGGCCGCATCGTCCATGGATCGCATCGTCCGTGGACCGCATCGTCCATGGACCGCATCGTCCGGACTTCGTCCAGGCAGAATGTATTTTTCATTGTATTTACTAAGTATTGTACACAGCCCATTAGTGACCTTATTTCGCCCAAGAAGGCATGATTATTGTAATGGGCCTCCTAAGCCCAAGGCTAGGGGCCCAAATCCACATTTTTACCTATAAATAGACCCCAAGGGGCTAATTATAGGGGGTTCCAAGTTGAGAAATATAATTACTCACTTTCTCTCTCTAGCTCTCACTTCTCTCTAGAATTAATACTCTATCAGTCATATACCCTCTTTTCCTCCTTTACCACTTGGTGAGTGTTTAGGGGTAGTAAATTCGAGTGTGTCTCCGTTCTACAATATTGTATAGTGTATATATATTTACAAGTGTTTGCATCTAAAGAAGTTTGTTGAAATGTGAACTCTATTATTTACATATATCTTTTCAAGTTATGACTATGTTATTAGGTGTACTTTCTCTAGTTGATTATGACATCTACACTAAAGTTAGAGGCACGAGCGGATATGATCTACTAGATCAAGCGAGATACAACAAAAAGAGATCAAGTCCAAGATCGATTATTTAAGAGGAACAGCCACACTCTTAGTGGAGCAATTACTTTCGAGGTACTAGAGGACGACAAAACTCTAGAGAAAATCAAGTCTACTTAGCATGAATGAGAAATTATGAAGAGTTGCATAAATATATTTGTACTCTTAGAATGGTTATATTAGGAAAAATCAGCACATGATGGTGATACACATCATGAAAGTTTTATACCTACAAACTGGTTAGAAGATTGATATATATGAAATAGGTTAAAGATAAGGCAAGTAATAATGAAATACATGAACAGTGAAATGAAGTTGAATTAAACTCTTTGAATTAAAGTGAATTAATTGGGTGTAATAAAATAAAAATACTGCCCAAAATAGATTGTGGCATTTGATTTTAGAATGTGCGAGTTTAATTAATCAAAAGACATTTGGTTATGAAATTCACCTCAAGTATATTGCAAACGCACGACCAATTCTAGAATATGCCTCCAAAATGTATATCAAGAGGCTCCCCTTCTAGAACTTGCCCGAGAAATAATCAACATCATACCAAATTATAGAATCTGTTTCAAAATGTATATCCAAAAGACACCCAATTCTAGAATTTGCCCCAAACATATATAGCCAAAACTTTGATTTGAAAATGTGAAGTTGAGTATTCCGGAAATGTATGATTCAGATACATGGTTGTAGGCATATTCAATATATGACGTTATTGAATTAATACCGCAAATACTCATCAACTATTGACATAAATACCCAATCTTGTCTCAGAATATATACTACATTACTACTCTCTCAGTTTGTCCCTCGAGCAAATTTTTCCGTACCAAATCTACTTCTTTGCTTTACATCTTTGTACTCTTCCAAAACAATCTAGTCCATTTATTATACCACCAAACATCGTATCTATCACTAGTATCCCTCTCTTATAAGGCATGTATGCCACATATATATAGCTTTGTCGTGAATTGATCAACACATGGAAAAATAAAACATAAATTACGTAATTGGTATTTGTGCAGATGAGAGATAATTAGTAAGAAAAAAACTTAATTACTACATTCATCTCCAAAATAACTTCTTACTTCACTTATTTGACTGTCCCAAAATAAATTTTCGAATTCAATAAAAGAAAATTCATACTACCTCCGTCCCCCTAAGTTTGGGACAAAGAGATGTGGTGTGGTTTTAAAAAAAAATAGAATTGTGTGGTTGATATTGAATTAATAAAGTGTGAAAAAGTAAGAATGATTTGTAGCCACTCAAATATTCCAAATATGATATGAGACAAACTTAATGAGACAACCAAAAAAAGTAAAACGAGACAAAGTTAGGGAGAAGAAAGGAGTAATATCAAATGCCACAATCATACTCTTTTTACTTGCTTGTTTTTAATTTGATTTGACATAAAGTAGAGGTATAACTAGAAATTCAAATCAGAACTTTGTCTTTGACAAATATGTGTGTAAGTAATTTCTAGGACGAACTGACGAAGAGTGTATTTAAAGTGGAAAGTGACAAAGTTTTTAAGACTACAAAAAAAACTTTTGGACAATGTACGTTATAAGAGACAAATAAAGTAATGCATGTTATTTGAAATGAATCTAGTAACAGTATGAGATGACATTTAGTAACAATGAGTCATTTTATAGTCTATTTGATTGAACTCTCCTACTTTATAATTGAGACTAATGGCCAATGATTGTTTATGTTTATGATTGCCCTACAAGTTTTATCAAGCACTTTAAATAATGAATAGGTGATTCTTATTATTTTTATCTGGCTTGCACAAATTTTGCACACGACTTTTTTTATCAAGATTAACAGAATTTAATGAAAGATAAGAGAGTATGTAAATGTAAATATAATAAATAAAGAGTAAATGTATGGAACATATTGTGGTTTTCCATTCAGAAATAAGCGAGCTGAGGGAGCCACGTGAGCATTAATAAAGGAAGGGAATGTGACAACATGTACCGAAAGCGTGAGTGTGAGGAAGAGTAACCAAATGAGAACCACTAACAAAAGACTGGAGGATTACCTATGACATATGAGTCAATATAAAAGCTAGTTTGTTAGAAGAGAGAGGGAGTGGATTCATTGGACAAATCTTCTTCTGGTTCAAGTTTTGTTTGTTCATTAGCATATTAAGCTCTATTATTAGTGCTGAATTCTAGTGTTATAGAGATAATGGCACTTCATATATGAGTTTTTTTTATAGCAAACGGTGGTTGATCGATATTGTTATTATTTTACTTGTTATTATTGTGTTTTTGGTAGAAATACCTTACATTGGTCCTTTCATTCATTCATTCATGGTGACGCGAGGTACTCAGGTGAAGGAGATCGATGCTCGCCTAAAAGAGGTTGATACTTGCCTAAAGGAACGCTCGTTGGAAATCGGAAAGCTGAGAGATCATGATGTTTGTTTCATTAACTCTTTGATTTTGTTTCGGCAATCGACTGAACAAATTATTGAAGGCTCTGGAATTGAGAAGGATGATGAAGAACGGTTTAACACACTCGATCTTGGTCCATATCATGGGGATTGCATCTTCCATTTCAAGTTCGCAATGTCAAACTTGATTTACCAATTACTCTTCCGGTCTTCCCAAATACTCTCTCTGACCCTAAAAAATTTGTCAAATTTGATTAACACGAGAAATAGTATTGGGTACTTCGTAAAAATCATATAGTTGAAATTTTTGCACATGTAGGAAAAAATGAACCACAAATTCATTGATAAAAGTGAAAGAATCAAAGTTTTTAGAACATCTAAAGGCGAAAAGATGAAGAGTTATAAAGAAAAGATAGAACATCCATAAGAACATCCTCATTCATGAGTTTATTTGAAGATCAATTTGATGGCGTGTAAGATTATTTTAAATATTATCATTATGAGTAAGAGATTATTTAGTGACATTATTGAAAAATAAAATCCGGTATCAAGATTCAAATCCCGAATTGTTTTAGATTGTAGTTAAATAACATTAAATGCATGCCCGCAAAAAACTAATTATTTGAGCATTATTGTTGATGAATAGTTTTAAGTTTGGAGATTATTTGAAATTTATTGAAAAATGTGATGTGACAATAATGTGTTATGAAATAATCGTTTATTCAGAAAGCATGAATGGAGATGCTCTAATGAGCATGTTAGTATGCTCCATAATTTTATTCAATTTCTTCAATAGTTACGAGAGTATAATGTGATATGCAAATAAGGATGTTATTACTTCGACTGTAATCTGTCCCAAACCAGACCAGTTGTCCAAACCGGACCAGACTTGAATAGTTATAAAAATACAAAGAAATCAGACATGAATCACATGACCAGACCAGACCAGACTTGGATAGTTATAAAAAATACAAAGAAATCATACATAATCAGACAAGACAAGACCAGACCAGATCAGACCAGCAAATTACGGGCCAATAAAAACATCCTAACTCAAATAAAAATCAGGAGAACGACATAGAGATGGGACAAAGGAGTACAACTGCACGTGCCCATCAAACGTACCTCACAGATATGAATCGGGTAATCATCTTACATTTTCCCTATTTTCTCAAACTAATGCTTTATATTCAAACCAAACGTACACCAGTGTCTATTAATTAGCTTTTCTTAATTATTACGCGAAAGCGAGGGCACTAAGTACCTGACAGCCTGACACAATTATTATTATCTATCCATTTCCTGCCACAAAAGAAGAAGAATCCATAACGGCTCTATTCTCACATTGCCCTGTCCCCCGCCTGCACTCAAATTTTGAATCCCTCTCTTTATTTTCAAAAAATCAGTGGATTTCTCGAACTCTATCCGTTCCCTTCTCTCCCAGTTCTGTAATTTTCCCACTTCTCACTTTTTGGGGGCAAAAGATGGGAACTTGCTTGAGCAAGAAGAGCGCTACTGCTCCCTCTCCTTCTCCTCTTCCTCCCACCATAGCCCAGTCTGCAATTAACTCGAACCCCTCCAAGCAAGAGACTAAACCCCCAGATCTCCAGAAGAAGAAACCAGAAGAAGAAGGGAGAGCGGTCAAGAAGGAGATTTTCGTCATTAGGCACCGGAAGAGCCACGAGACAGAGCGGCAGTCCGTGGACGGAAATGGCGATTCCAAGAAGGACCCGGATGAGGTTTCCGAACCGGTCAAGGGTCCGGCAATTAAGAATGGGTTGGGTCACCTGAGTGTCGTTTCTGCCCCAGTGAGGACTTCGAGCTGCACGAAGGAAGAGGTTGATGCCATATTGATTCAGTGTGGGAAACTCAGTAGGAGCCCTTCCAGATCTGTTGGATCTTCTGAAAACAACAACAATGGGAGCCTACAGAAGACCAAGAAGTACTCTGGGTCAAAGAGAAGCTTTGACTTTGATAAGGAAAACGAAGGCCCGGAGGAGAATGTGGAGGCTGATGGGGAAACGGAGAGACTCCACCGGCAGAGACAACGGCAGCAGCGCCAGCCGAGGCATAGCCTTAGCCCTTCCACGTCTTCCCGAAACCGAAGGAGGACTCCGAGTAGGGAGAGGGACCCACAGGAGCAAAGATCTGGAAGCAGAGAAAGAAATGGTGGTGGAGCTGCTGGTGGTGGGAGGAGGGTGAGCAGATCTCCTGGAAAAAGGTCTGAATCACCAAACACAGTTACTTCTGGCAATTGTAGGCCAGGGAAGATGGTTTCTGTGCCTGCCACTGTGGCAATGGATAAGAGCATTGATGGAGAGAACATCTTGGCTGCTTCTGCTGTGAAGAGGATTCAGGTGAGGAGGAATGTGGGTGGAGGTGGCGGTGATGGTTCAAGAGCCACCGCTGTGGCTTCTCCTCGGGCTCGTTCCCCTGCCACGAACCAGCAGCAGCAGCAGCAGCAGCCTTCGCTAAGCAGGAGCAATTCTAGGAAGGCAGAACACTCTCCTTTCAGAAGAAACCCTCTGGGTGAGATTGACACTAATGTGATCATTGAACCATCAGGAAGAACTAATAATAAGCCTGCCAAACACAATTCTTCTTCGCAGGTATGGCTGCTTGCTAAGTTTGTTTTACTGCTGTTTGGTTTCATCACTTTAGTGTTAAAAGATGTGATGGTATGGATGAAAAGTGCTCTTAATCTAACCCAAGTAAAATATCCTAAAAATGACCTTGAACATTAGAGCCAGCTTGGTGATAACTGATATTAATGAATTGGTTGAGGATAGGCTAAATAAAAGTGTTTAGTGATTGTGTTTGACTACTTTTCGGTTAAAATGGTTGAATGGATATGTAATTACAAGGATATGTAATTTTTTTTTGTAGTGGAAGAACGAGCATATATCCCTGATTTTACATGTCCATGGAACAAATGCACATTTAAGATTTCTTTCGGAATGATCAAATGCAAATGTTTTTTAATCTAGAATAAATATATTCTTGAATTATGTAGTCCCTTTAATAGAGAACATATGCATCTCCCATTTCTCTCAGCCATTTGTTCATAAACCCATATTTGTGCTAACTTTAAAATTTTTTATTTTTAAATTTTGACTATGATAATAGAAAATCTAGGGGTGTATTTGTTCTTAGTTTGAAGATATATTGTATCTTCTTCTTTCATTCTTTGGTACAGTGCAACACAAAAAAGGAAAAGTATAATTTCATTTTAAAAATAAGGATAGGTAAAAAACAGTAGAAATATGGCGATATTTGGCTAAAAAGCCCAACCGTCCTGAGGTGTTTGATGTTTCTTTCTTTCAAGACTTGTATGCCCATATGAGCATACCTAATGAGCTCTTGACAAATAACCTTGACCCCTGAACTCTCAAGGTACTAGACTTGGCCCTCAATAATAATGACATGAATGTCTATAGGCATGTGGTGTCTGCAGACGGTTTAAGCCATGACACGATAATATCTAAAGAAAGTTTGCCAGTCAAAAACACATCAAATATTCAAACTTATCCATATCATTGTTGAGTCAAATAGTTTTGATATATTTGGACTAAATTTGTTGAGTCAAATAGTTTTGATATATTTGGACTAAATTTGTTGAGTCAAAGTGTTCATATCGATTACAACTTTTTCATAGTTTTGTTCGTCTTGATACATCAAAGTTCGAAGCTGGAATATGAGGTATATTTTCTTGATTACACTCAGGTGCAGAAGATCAATGGAGATAATATCAGCAACATGAAAGTGGGATTGCAAGGAAGTAATACCAATAAGCTTTGTTCTAACAACAAAACTAAAGAGGAGGAGCATCATGTGATAGTGGAGGAGCACAAAGTGGTTGGGGGGAATAATGCTAAAGTCAATTTAATTACTCCAGCAGGAGCAGAAGAAAGCCTTAAAACAGTAACAACAAGAAGCAGGTCCTCTAGATTGTCTCGAGATTTAGACATCAACCCTGAAGCTCTATTATCAAATTCCTCAAGTTCCACTCAAAACTACACAGCATTATTGCTTGAAGATATCCAAAATTTTCATCAAAAGAACACCCCAAATGCCCCCTCAGCTTTCAGTCTCCCAGCTTGTGTCACCAAGGCCTGTTCAATCCTTGATGCAGTGGCTGACCTGAACTCCTCCACCTCTGAGGACAGAAGAAGAAACTTCAAATCTGATCAGTTTGTTAACACGAATAACATAATAGGTGTAAAAGATCAAGAATCCTCCTCAATAGAGCCAAGCATTCACAAGTATGTGACTTTGAGAAGGGGAAATATTGTTGAAGATGAGGAGGGTGATGGAGAAGATCAAGAATCCTCTGGAAGTAACAGCTTTGCAGGTGCTAGTAGCGGTCAACAGAAGCCTTATTGGCTCTCTTCATCTTCTTCCTCTTGGGAACCAAATTCAGGAGACTCAACTTCAAGGTCTTACAGCAGGGGGGATGAAAACCATAGGAGCCCACTAGCCGGAGTTCAAAGGCATGATACTACTATTATGGATGAAAGTAGTACGAGGAGGCTGGCTGCGAAGAAGAAGAGGGATATGGAGCAAAGTGGAGTGGGGAATGTCAGAGTTGGAGGTGGTCCCCACATGTCATCCATGGTATAGCAGTTGCTGCAACTACTACCGCATCAAGTTGAGAGGAACATAGCGAGGGTCTATGCGTGTGGTTTCACACTTCAGATTATATTTGTTGTCTTGTGCTTTGGTATTTTTAGAAAATTTGGTTTAGTTAGGAACCGGTTATTATTTGTATAACTGGAATCAATGAACACACACGTTAGTTTCCTTCATGTACACGGTAGTTTCATTCATGTTTTTAAATATATATGTATGCCTGAATGCGTCAGTAAGTAGGTAATGTTTGGAACAATAAGTTTGCACTCAAAATATATCTGATTACACTACTTTACATTTCATTACAGTTTATCACATGTTTCACATGTTATGTTAAACATGTATATATTCTCTTTTAACAAAAATGAAAAACAATCTGCTCTGGTACTCTCCAAGGGTGCAAACATTTGTAGGTGAATCCCTGTGCAGTAATCTAAAAACATTTCATGCTTCACCCATGCTTTTATAGTTAACCATGTAAATTGCTCCCAGTGTTACCAGTGCGCCAACCAATTGAAGAGGCGTGAAGGTCTCACCAAGATATATGAACCTGATCACACACACAACAAATCTAACACCAGCTGAAAATTGTTATCTTCATTTCTAGTTCATAAAGTATGAAAATATTTCTGTTTAGATGTCTTACCCAAATACTGATGCAAACATGGGAGTCAAAAAGGTAAGTGAGCTGAGCTTTGTAAGGCTGCCTGCAGTGTGTTAAAACAGTACATACTGAAGTAAAAAAAATGCAAAACCTAGCCAGGTCTTTGTGAATAAAAATGATATGTTTTGAGCTGTTAAGTGGTGAATAGAAGTTATACGAGTAAAATGACAAGAATGATACACAATGCCTTCTAGCCATTAAACATTGATTGCTCCTAAATGCTCATTTATAAATGAAGCTAGACTGACCTGATGTTGCATTGTAGAAGTAAACACCATAGCTCAAGGCACTTCCAAACACTGATGTATACAGCAGTGCCAAAACGTCGTTTGAAGTAAGCTCCCCCAAACTCCCATCAAGGGCAGGATCGTGATTAATCACGGAGATAGCGGCCAAAGGGAGGCCACCAATAACCATGTGCTGCATAACAGATTCTTTTAATATAAAAATAAAACTCTAAACATTGACGCTGTGAAATTTTACTTCACTGAACGATTTTACTTTACCAAATAACCCTTACCAAACAGACCCTAGTTGAGCTAAAAACTTATGATAAAGTGGGAGCTATACCAATCCAGTAGCCATGATGGGATCAGAGTACTTGGAAACCCAACGAAACATTACTGTGCCAATTGCCATGCTTTGTGCAGCAAGAAGCATCCACCACTCCCCACTTTCCCTCAAATGAGAAAAATTAGTCTCATCAAACTTCAGTGCAGGCACCTGCGTGTTAGTTAGAATCATATATGAGAATAATCTGCTTGTGTGGTTATCTTCTTAGAATGGAAGGTATAAAGAATAAACCAGCACATCATGAATGAACAATGGCATATACCTCAAGAAGCAAAAGACCTATTACCCCAAGTACAAGCCCTGCAGCTCCTACTAATCCAATAGACTCCCCAAATAACAGTGCAGCAAGAATAGCCACTGTCAGAGGCTGTGAATCAATAATTACCTGAAACAATGCGTGTATGTAACATAAGGGATGATGACTTTCTCAAACATAATTACAATATTAATCCAGCAATCACTTAAGTGCTTGTTTGGTGACTGGATTTCCAGAGTACTTTTTAAATTACTTCTGCATTTAGATCCATAAAAATATAGTGGAGATATAAGCAATACAAAATACAGTCTTACTAATCCTATTAATTCACCCAGTCACCCGCCTCTTACCTTCCTTCTTATTTACCAACCAAGTCCTATGTCTTTCCTATCAGTGGCAGAGCAAAAAAAATCATCCCCAGGGGGTCAAAACTGGGACATGTACAACATCAAAAGGTCGGATCGTTTTAAGTCAATGCTTAAGTTGAATAATTCATATGTAGATGAGATAAATCATACTACGTAAACATTAGTTCATATGAGATATAGAGAGCTATTGATTTGATATATTTGTAATATATTATAAAATTCACTTAGCTAATGAGTGAATAAAACGTTATTTTGAAAATTTGGGGATGTAACTAATACTCCGTATTACTAGACAAATTCAGTTCATTTAAAGTCTAGATGATGCTGATTTTCCATGATTCATAACTTTTGACTCGTATTACAAGAGTTACAATATATCAAATCGATGGTATTTCACTACTCTACATGTTCAAACTTTGAGAAGTGGTCAATTGACCACCATGACCCCGAGTTCCGCCCCTGTTTCCCATGATTAGTGAAAAGAGCATGCACACTAGCCACACACACAAAGTGATTTTGCTAACAGCAAGGTAATTCTCGATTCAACTAACACCAAGGTGATTCATAAACTATGTAAATTCTGGAATAAGAATAATTCACTCAAGAATTTCAACCTACACTGCCTAAACCAGCTGATGTCTTTTCCAACCCCTCAGCAAGAAAACCCTGTCGGCCATTGAAATAGACCTTTAATTAGTCGATCAGCCCCAACATATCCACACGCACTGATTAGAAAGCACAAGAATGGAAACCTGAAAGCAAGCAGCATCAATCAGTGCAAAGAGTGTGATAGAAAGCCACGCATTCAGCCCTGAAGGGAATTTCCGGCCCTGGGAAGCAGCAAAGCTTACTAAGAGAAAACCTGCTGGAATCAATCGGAAGGCAGACACGAAAAAAGGCCCAGTTTTGGGTAAAACTTCCTTCATTGCCACCATAGCCGTTCCCCAGAAGAAGAAGGGCGACACTAGCAGTGTCCATTCCCAGACTTTTCCCAGCAATTCTGCTTTCTCGTCTTTCAAAATTGGGCTTTTGAGCTCTGGTTTTCCTGCATCTGCGTCAATATCTGCCACTGAGGGACGGGGATTCTCCTCCGATTTGAAACCTTTCGCCTTGGACTCGATGTAGCTTCGGGACTTGATGCTGGTATAGGAAGAAATATTTCTTCTTTGAGTAAGGAAGCGGTTATACAGCAAGGGGTCAACCATAGATGTCGCGTTTCTGCCATTAATGGTTGCAGAGAGAGAACAGTAACAAGTTGACAGAGGAGAGAATGTAAACAACGTCATCGTCCTACACTTGTCCGCTTTCTACAACGTCATCCTCCTAACTCTATGGAGTCCATTAGTCCATATGACTCCCTGATACTCCGTAGCTGTTAACGAACCGAGCGCCGGATGAGTTCGTACAACCAGGTTTTTTGTTTTTGTGATCATGCTTAACTTTCTGCACATTTTAATTATTCTCATTACAGATTTACAGTCCAGGCTTAGCCACGTTTTGACATATAAATTATACTTCGTATTAATAATTTCGGGGTGTTCGAGCTCGGTTTGATTAATTTTTTAAATTTAAAGCTCAACTCGGGTTTGAGTTCGAAAGCTCGTTAAGTTCGACTTGTTAAATTTGAAAACGAGCTCGAGCTCGAATAGTTCGATAAAAGGCTCAGCTCGTTAACGGCCATACGCATGGCCGCCACTATATCACAAATGAACATATCATTTATTTCTTAAAATATTAATTATTCATTTGAAATCTGAAAGATGAAATGTATCGATATAGGACCAACTGATGAATAACTCTTATTATAAAATCTGAATGACTAAAAACTACTCCCTCAATATCTCTTTAGCTGTCTCACTTTTCTTTTTGGGTGTATCAAATTAATTGTCTCATTTCCCTTTTTGAAATAAAAAACTCACCCAAAAAGGAGTTACAATATTACTACAGGGTCACTACAATACCAAAACATCGTACTTTTTATAAAGCCTACAGTAATTATCAAACTCCGTGAAAAGCAAATGAGACAACTAAATTGATAGTATTCCATCATTCAAATCCTATATCGATACATTTCAGGTCTTGAATTAATACTCATCTATATTTGAGGACTGAGGTCATGAATTATATATAAAATTGCGTTCATAAATCACCGTCTCACCTTGAACCTTGTCGTTGCACAAACTTTAGATGATAAGCAAAGAAGGAAGTTGCAAATGATGGGAGATAATTAGCTTGAGGAGAAGGGAAAATTAAAACAATGCTCTTGTTTAGAGAGTAAGAATATGTATACTCCTATTTAGAAAGTTAAACAACATTTTACTCTTATTAAGAGTAATTTGTGATGAATCTAAATGAGCATCTCGAATTAACCAACCACCAATGCGAGAATAAGTTCACCTCTACTGACAAGTTCAAGACATGTGCGCGAAAATCAGATTTAGGAATTCTTCCAATGTGTACAGTTTCTAGCAGCGCATTACCGATCCATACTTGATTAGGAGTGTTGGTTTGTCGATATAACATGATCAGGTTAAAATGTTGGATAACACAATTTGTTGGGCATATGGTAAAGGGCGGGTATAGTAGCGGGGTCGAGTATGGTTCATAGTTTTCCCACCAACCGGTCTCAAACTCTCAATACATGAAATGAAATAGTATACGCGCATATGCGCATATACTAGTGCCATTGAATATTGCTTATTTTAATTTGAATGCCAAATAAGAAGAATAAAAGTTGTATTATTAAAATATGTGTAGAAGAGATGAAAGTGAAAGCTACAAATTCATTTCCCTAGAGCGAAAGTAGTAAAGTTTAATTTTTTAGACAAACAAAAAAGAAAAGTAGACAAATTTGATGAGACGGATGGAATATGGAACAACATAGTTTTGTAATACGAAGTACAATATACCCTCGTCTCGTTAAGGTTGTTTCGTACAAAATTTATGAAAATATTGTGTAGTTTTAAATCATTTTTATTTTATTTTTATTTTATGAGTTCAGTATGAATCACGTAAACTCATTTTTCTTAATAGTCACATTATCAGATCATGTTCCAATGTTAATAGGAAATACGTAATACCTGTTTTGTGCAACCCTAGTTTATTTTAGTCACTCCTTATCCTTTCGTGAGACCTCAACTCCACGACTCTCATCTTTTCTCTACTTCTCTCATGATTCTTAACTTTGAATCCTTCGATCTTGTTTGAAACTCTCATACTATAATAGGGATTCATCCCCTCCTAATCTCTCAATGTGTTAGACGTATCATTCAGTGTTTGAGTATTTGACTCTAGCTGTGCTTTGAAGCTATGTTGCACCGATACTTCATTCGGATGCCGTATCCGCGTATCCGATACGTATCCGTATCCGATACTCACCGATAAACGTCCCGTACGTATTGGGTCCGTATCCGTAATTTACTAAAAGTATCGGACTTATTTTAAAAAAATAAAAACTTCTGATACCCGTATCCGGTCCGGGATACACGTATCTAAACTTAAGGCCCCAAATTTCTTACGCAATCATGAGACTCAGAAGACCGTAGATGCCAAAATCAAATGCGAGTAGCGAATCAAATGTTATTTAATTAGAAATTGCAATATTGGTACTTTAGTTGATTTCTGAAATTTTATTACGATTGTAATTTTTCGTACTATCATCACTTTATTTATGAACTCTTGGATTATATGTAATTGCAAATCATACCCTATATTTTTATTATTTATAAATATACCCCCGTACCCGTATCCTATAATTTTCGAAGTTGCCGTATCGCCGTACCCGTATCTGGGTATCGACGTATCCGCGTATCCGTATCCGTGCAACATAGCTTTGAAGTTTGAGGCTCGAAACGTTGGGAAGAATGGGAGATAGAAACTCTAGTCCGGAATTGAGGAATTTTAATTTGGTCAAATGTTACAAATCTCTTTCAAATGTCAAGTATTGATCCGATGAAGCGGACATTTTGTCAAGCTAAAATCAAATATGGGTTTTCTTATTTGTTAACTTATGACAAATTCAAATTTATAGAGTAAAATATAAGATTTGAGCATGTGAATTGTAATAGCCTCTATCCTTAGTGTTTGTGTTTTACATGTGATAAAAGTTATACCTAGTTATATACGTAATAATTGTTATGTATTGTTAAAAAAGAGAGAAATCGAACAAGAACCTCAAGTTTAGTCGCAAACGTAAACTATGGCCAAAAGTAAAGAAAGATCGGTGATCACCAATCAAAATAAGTCAAGACCTTATATATACTTCTTAGTCATTCGTAACAGCCAAAAGAGGATGTGAGCGTTTGTAAGAACCAGAAAATGTTAAGATATGGGGTGGGACATCATCTAGATTGTGTTGGCATTTATTTTATTCAGGTGTTAAGATTCAAGTTCCATCCTAAAAGGTGAGACTGATATGTGGAGTAGCTAATATCTTAATATAGTGTTTAATTCTTTTATATTTTTGGATGAACTGTAAGTATATATAAGGAAACATCCAAAAGTGTTTGTCTGTACAGCAAAAAGTTGAGCAAAAATGGAGGCTATCCAAAGTTTGGATAACCCATCACCTGCAAAACATAAGGTGCCATAATAGCAACCTTAGCTACATCTAAGCCAATCACAAGCAAGACTAGGTGATGGATACAATGTTCTCAAAATACAACCAAATCATATGGATAGATGGTATATAAAACTTTGTACACAATGTACTTTATCTTAGCAAACACTTCATCTTCCTTTGGGGTCACACCATCAAAAATAGCAGCATTCCTAACCCTCCAGATCCAGTAAATAGAATGGCAAAATGCAATCCGAGATGCCTTGGCTTGTACATTTGCTCCACTCCTTTCTTTCTTTATCCATTTAACCGAGCTAGCTAGGGTCCCCATAAGCCGTGGCATGCCCATCCATTCCTTGACCATTTTCCAAACCTTCCCTGAAAAAGAACATTCAAAGTATAGGTGTGGAACCGTTTCTGGTCCACCCTTGCACAAAACACAAATGTTAGCTACATTTAATCTGTCAAGATTATCACAAGTAGCTAACCTATTCCGGAATGCCAACCAAGTAATAAAGGAAAACTTTGGAGGGATATAATCTTTCCATATAAAGGACATCCACCTGCGGGTGGGGGCCCTAGTTCTAAGCAAGTTGTAAACTTTAGAGGATACAAGTTTGCCATTGGTTTGGAATGCACTTAGGCCGAGTATAGCACTTGGGATATCATGAAATTTGGAGAGTATTTCATCTCGGATAAGTGCAATCTTCTTCATCAATTGCGAGTCCCTATTGTGTGGGATGAATTCCCACACGTTCTTACCCTTTAGGTAGACACCATGGACCCATTTGACCCACAAAGTGTCTTTTTTGGTGTGTATGTCCCAAAAAGTTTTTGCTAGCAACGCCTTGTTCCAAACCTTTGTGTCATGTATACCAAGTCCACCTTCCTCTTTAGGGAGGCAAATGTCAGCCCAGGACACCCTAGAGAATTTGCAACCCCAAAGAAAGATACGACAAATGGATGTAATTCTATCAAGGATAACATTAGGAATGGGAAACATTTGTAACCAAAAAGAGTGTACACCCTGTATGACGGACTTGATCAACTCAATCCTTCCTGCATAAGATAATGTCTTTAGGTTCCAAGCATTAATAAAAGTGGTAATGGACTCTAAAAGAGGAGCATATTGGGTCACAGATAATTTCAAGGGAGCTAATGGAACTCCAAGATATTTGACCGGGAATGCACCAACTTTAAAGTCCACCAAACCAAGAATAGTATCAAGCTCATGATAAGCCA